AGAGTGATATGCTCACAACTTCCTTTCAGAACAGATTATATTCTTCCTTAGAGAGGAAATGAGGACTCCAAATTAGTGGGGGCTCTAAATTAGCACTAATTGAAAGCATGCTTTTTTTATAAATCAGTTAGAATGCTTTCAGTTCAGAGACAGAACTGTCTGCTTCTCCATCTATAAAGCATCCTTTGAGCAGGTTACACACCCACTGGCTTCTGCCATCTTGCAAATAACGATTCATGAAAATGGCAGATTTTGCAGCTGGTTGAACATTTACTCCCATATGTCTGCACAGCCCCACCAGTGACGACAACACATCAACAGTTTGTGCAATTAGTGTTGCTTTTTTCTCCTTCCCTTCCAAAGAGGTATCCCATGTAGGATTGCCACACCGTAATCTCGAGAGTTCTGTTGTTATTAACAGCCACCAGGGTTACAGGCAAGAGGCCTCCAGGTACCAATGGTTAGAGAGCTACTGTCATCCTGTGTGTGGGTTTTCCAGAATCATCTGCTGGGAACTAGAGCTTGATCCTAGTTGGACTTTTGGGTCTGATCCAGCAGGGCTCTCAGCAGACTGCTGAAAATTGGTGGTTGATGGGGCGTGGGGATGCCACATGGTCTACAGATCAGGACTGGCAACCTGGGGTCCTCCAGATGTTGGGTTGGGTCTCCAACCACCATCAATCTCAGAGAATGGTAAGGGATGACAGGAGTTATAACCTGCCAACTTCTGCCTGGAACTTTCCATGGCTGAATTATAATGACATTGCATTTATATTCCACCTTTTGTCCTCTTGTGAGGAACCCAAGACAGCATACATAGCTCCATTTTATTCTCACAACAGCAACCCTGTAAGGTAGGCTGGGCTGAGGGTCTGTCAATGATCCAAAGTCACCCAGTTAGCTTCATGGGTGAGTGGGAATTAGAACCCAGATCTCCTAGGTCCCCATTCCAGCACTCTAGCCACCGCACCACACTGGCTCTTGAGTGGTCTTTATGTACAGTATAATCTGCAGATGGATAAATATACAGATTTGGGACTGCTTTTGTCCTGTCTGTCGCATGTACATTTCCCTTCTTGAATGAGTAAACAGTCCGAAAGCACAGGTGAGCTTGAAGGCATCCGAACAGAACTTCAGAAGGCAGATCCCTCGGTCCTGAACCTTTCAACGTTTCCGAAAGTCATCACCAGCACTTTGCACTGCACCTGGGAATGTCCTGGTGCTGCTCTCTGAATACAGGAGGGCCCTGTTAACAGTTCTGGACCATTTCTAGTCTCTGAACGCTTGTCAAAGGCAGCTCCATGTAGACTGCATTGCAGTGATCCAGACATGTTGTAACTAAGGCACGTGCCACCCTGACCAGACCTGCATTCATTCTTGTTCAACAGTGCTTCCAAATTGCATTCCCAACTATAGTGTTATACACGAATGCTCTCTGCACTGTTGATTCGGCCATCACACACAAATACAGACCACTGTTATTGCTGTCACCATATAATCAGCTGTACAGCTTCTGCTTACTTTTGAAGCAGAATTAACCCAATTTGAAGCAGTGCGAAGCAATGGAAGAAGTTTGTTTCTGCACTGTATAAAAACTACGAATTTTCCTCCAGAGCACTGTAGGAAGCTGATGTTTCACAGAACTATTTTTGGGGTATATTCAAGGCTTTAAGCAAAAATATTACCTTGCCCTCTGCCAGCTGAATGAACACATTTATCGCCTTTACATTTATATTTATACAGTGTCTGTGCATATTGAAAGAACAGTGGGTTATACATATAAGATTAATATAAAGGTTGCATGAGGACAAACTCTCAGTGAGGGTTGCCAGTTGACCAGGGAAAAGATCTGGCTCCTGAACCTTTAATGGCAGTGTCTTACTCTGCAGAAATGCAGGTTTTTTAAACCATCTGTTAGTATTTGCTGTTTAGTGCAGAGGAGCAGGCATTGGTTAAAAGACTGACAACACCAATCCTCCCACCAATAGTCTACAAATGTTGGTGTGCATGAAAAAGACATTTCTTAACCTGTAGCTCTTCTTATAAATATTCACCTGAAAATAATTGAGCTGCTTTCAGATAAAGCCTTTAGTGTGCAATTAACTGCTCTGTCTAACTCATGGAATTTTACATGGGGTCCAGGCATTGTTGCCTTCCATTAATAACACCTCCCTGTGTTTTTCCACTGCTTTCCCTATTCCCCCCCTTACTACACAATATCCACTACGAGGGAAAAGAAAGCAGAGCTGTACAATGTCTGAAAAGTCCTCTATCTGGAAGCATCTGAAGTCCAGAGCCAGAGTAAAAGAGTGCCTGTAATTCTGCTGTATAATTGACACTGGCTCAAATCAGATATATTCACTTGACTTTAAGATATGCCAATTTCTCTCAGCTATCATTTCTCCTTTCCAAAGAGTAGGACTGGGATATTAATACTGACTTATTCAACACAGTTATTTTAAGGATTACTTGAAATAAGCTATGTGAAAAGATGTCTGATTTTAACCCTCTATTATTAATTAGAGTTATATCCTGTCTTATTTTCTTACAAGAAACTCAGAATGACTTGTATCATCCTCCTGCCCTTAATCTTATACCCACAACAAGGTTGGGCTAAGAGTCTGTGACTGGCCCAAAGCCACCCAGGTGGCTGAGCAGGGACTAGAACCCCTTTTGCCTGAGTCCCGGTCCCACATTTTTAATCACTACAACATACTGACTACATCCCAAGAGTGCAATCCTATGCTTCTTTAGCAGAAAAATGATACACAAGATTACAGCATACAGTTGCGGTGGCTCTCCAGATGTTTTGACCTACAAGCCCCATCATTCCTAATCAGCACAGCCTGGAGTGAGCAATGATGGGAACTGCAGGCCGAATTTCGAGAGGGCCACCAGCTGCCCAGCCCCGCTCAAAAGAAAAAAGGCTGTATAAATGTTCAGTGAATGAGCTCTATTTGAGCATGACTCTCCTTGTGGCTGAATCATGAGGGGAGCCTCTTGGCATATAACAGGATCCCCTGCAGATGCGCCCCCAGTGCACGGACAGCAAGAGACAGGAAACGCAAGGAGTAGGGCCAGCCCTGTCCGTGCATCCCTTCCTCTCACCTGGGCAGTAGCAGTAGCAGTAATGCCTGCACTGTCCAAGGATGGATGAAACAGGGCCAGCCCAAAATAACTTGCCACCTGATGCAAAGGACAAGTGAGCACCTCCCTCTCCATTCCGTCTGCTGACAAGCTGCAGAATTGTGTGCCAACAGCCTTCTGTGCTGCCCTGAGAACAGCAGGCTGGCCTAGGCAGGACACAGCATACACGGCGCTGTCCTCCAGCAGAGATAACAATCCAGGGACTGCCACTGCTGCTGTGGGTGACTGCCAAGTAGTAGAACCAGCCCTGGAATTGTGGACAGTCTGTAAATGCCAGAGCGGATGCCTTGAGGCAGCCTATCTAGTCATCCCCAGAACAGGAGACAGGAAAGGCAGCCACCCAGGTTGAAGTTCCGTTCACTAAGGTGAGATGGATTGCATTTCTTCAGCAACTATTTCTAAACTTGAATCTCTACAGAAGTTGTCACATCACAGAGCCAGTATTGTGCTTTGAGTGTTGGACTGGGGACTTGGAAGACTGAGGTGCTTGTCCCCACTCAGCTACGAAGTTCAGTGTGTGACTCTGTGGAACATGTTACCTGGGGAAGCTGTGGGTTCTCCCTAGCTGGAGACATTCAAAAGGTGTCTAGACAGCCATCTGAATGGGATGGTGTAACTTGGTGTCCTGCAACAGCAGGCAGTGGGACCCGAGATGGCCACTCTTCCATTCTGATTCTATGACTCTGGGCCAATCATTCATTCTCAACCTAATCTACCTCACAGGACTGATGTTGTGAGGATCAAATGGAGCCACATAAGCCACTTTGGGCACCTTACAAAAGGGAAAAAGCAGGGTATAAATGGAATATAGTAATATGCAAATTTTATGCAAATAGTACCCTTTTTATGTCTTTAGCAGGGCTGGGGGACTTATAATACATCTAGTGACCTCCAGATATTTTGGAGTATAACTCCCACTAAATCCACCCAAACTGACCCATGTTTGGGGAGCATGGGTGTTGTGCTCCAAAACATCTGGAAGGCACCTGGTTGTCTTCTGAGAAGGAGACCAGTCACACAGGAATGGCCAACTTAAAAACACTTTGGAGAGATAGCAGGCAGGGTGTATTTGCCAGCTCAAGGTAGCATCTAGCGGCTCAAAAATACAATGACAAAATGCTGCATTTACTTCCAGTTTGAGGTGCAATTCTACACCTACTGAGACAGAAAAAAGACTTACAACTCCCAGCACGCCCTGGCCAGATTTGCAGGCTTTTTTCTGTCTAAATTTAGATGGGATTGTGCCTTAAAAATAAGTGTCGTTACCACCATTCAAATATAATCCGGTGGATATTTGACACAACTGAACAATATTATATTCTCTGCAGTTTCAGGGGCAACGCTCTTACTGTTGAGACAGGAAAAGACACAGCTGCCTGAAGCTTCCTAGAAGCTTTCTCTCCGCCCGCCCCCTCTCTAAATATGCATAAGACTGTGCCTTTAACTTATCCAAAGCAAAACAAATGAGAACCCCGCTCCCCAAATCCCAAAGCGCAACAAGAGACGCTGCAAAGCATAACCCACACCCTTCCTACGGAACAAGCCCCGCTGAAGGGGAGGGAGGCTGCACCCCAGCAAAAGTCCCAGACGCGCGATGAAATCTCTGCTTCGACTCACTCCGGATTTCATCTAATCGGAGCAACACCCCAGCGCGCGCGGCTGCGCCCGGAGAGGCGCGCCGGCCGGCCGGCCGGCCCGTCCCCTCCTTTTCCTCCTCCCCGTCCCCGGTCTCCGTCTTCCGGGCGTCAGCTAAGCCGCGGCAGGGCCGGCCTCCGCGAGCTGATTGGCGCCGGGGCTGTTCCGGGGCTTGCTGGCCAAGCACGGCCATCACTTCCTGCGGCGGCGGCGGCTCCTCCTCCGCTCTTGCTGGGCTTGCGAGCGGCTCGCTGGGGATTGCTGAGCGCCCGGGTGTCGGTGCGGGCTCCGGTGGCGCCGCTTTCAAATTTGCAGCCTGCAAGGGCGTAGAAAGCAACTGGGGGAAGGTGCGGCGGGGGTAGCCGCCGCTCAGCACTCCTTCCGCAGCCAAACCTACAGGAAGGTGAGTGCGGGAGAGCGGAACGGAGCGCCTGACCTGCAAGGTTCGGACTGTGGCGTTCACACGATCGTCGCCGGTCCCGTGAATGGCTTCTGGTCCTTCAAACAGCAGGGATGTGCAGAAGAAAGGAGCGCAGCGGCTTCGACCTTCGTAGCCAGCTGCGTATATGGCGCTGGACGACGCTTCTGGTTTATGATGCTTCGGGGGCGAGGGACACGATCCACTTGTTTTATTTGAATTAATATACTAAGGTCTGATCGGCACCCCGTAACATAATTAACCGGAACGTGGGCCTTCGGTATTGCCAGGGCTTGGTAACCTTAGAATTTCTTTCCTTCGTGATGATGCTCACTTCTTAGACTTGTGCAGGCGCTCTGCTTCTGCCAGAGTCTCTTGTAGAGGCGGGAGAGAAGTTTCTGCGCACTTGTGCAGAGTGCTTCCCCCTTCACACTGAGGAATGCCTCACATTGTTGGCATGAAGGAAGAGATGTCCAACTTGGAGGACACAGTTTCCATGGAGGATGTTAACTTTGTGTTAAGGGTCTGGCCCAGGACAGTCTCCAGTGCATTTTGCTCTTGATCAGTAAGTCCACATGGTGCTTTCTCAACCCATGTGGTGCAGCCCCTCTCCTCAAATTTATTTATTTAAAACATTTGCAACAAAGCCTCGGGGCGGCTCACAACATCCATAAAATAAACATAAAAATACAATCAATTTAAAAACTGGTACCATCTCGGCTAAATGAAATGAAAAAGACTTGTTACACCAGAAAGGCTAATCACATCCCTTTTGCTTCAGCTTTTTTGGGCCATAGTCCACTTCATTAGAAGCACAATGCCGTACTTTCATTTGGTAGGTACAAATACACATATACCAATGGACGCATGTAAAATGCACAGCATGCTACTTTTCAGTCAGCCAAGCATGCCTCTTTTAGGATACTCCAATTCTGTTAACTGTTCCAGTTTTCCACACCCTCTATTACTATTACATGGCCTTCCTTTAAAGTTTTTTTCCTTCACTTTTTAAAATTTCACCTTACCAGAGTAAGCATTCAGGCCTGTGGGCAAATCTGTGTGAGCTGCCCTGAGGTGTGAGCCGCATAGAAGCCTAATAAATAAATAAATCTAGCAATTTAAGGAGCTGTCTTGGACACCACCACAAGATGGCTGCCAAAAGATACATGGCAAAGCCAAGTAACCTGCCCAAACGACTGAGTGCAAGACTGAGGGTGGGGTCTTTCTGGCTTGTACTCCTGAAAACTCCCTGCTTTCAACATATTTCACAGTGATGCCAGCTTCTGATAAGAAAACATGTCATTAAAAACAACAGCAATAACTAAAACCCCCCCGGGAGGGATAGGTACCTTGCAGAGCACCAGAAATGGTCTCTGGAGATGCATTGCAGGCTTTGGCCTACTCTGATATCCCTTTGTGCCTGCTCAACTCCCTCTTATTTATGCACATATTTATATGCTGCCTATAACTGCCAGAAGGCCATCCTAGGCGGCTTGCAACCACATATTACAACCACCCATCTTCAGTAAGGGTAGTGGTGTTTTGAATGCATCAGGGTCCACACTTGGAAGGCGAGTTTGCTATGAGTACAAGAATGGGGTGAAAAGGCCATGAAATTCAAGGAGTAGTTGTACAGTTGAACATCAACCTTTGCAGGTTTAACTTTTGTGGATTTGATTATTTGCAAGCTTGCCATCAATAATTAAATGGGATTTTTTGGAGTTTTGCGGCCTAGTGTGGGAAATTGTCATCACCATAGAGAGAGAGGAAGTGAAAGGGGAGAGAGGGAGACCTCCAAAGCATGCCTTATTGGCCCGCCCATCTGGGGAGGGAAATCTCTCTGGCATTTCCTTGGTGCAAAGAGGAGGCGCTGGTGAGTGAAGGGAGGCTGGGGAACATGAGCATAAAAAAGCAATAAATGAGGAAGAGAAGCCCTGCTGGATCAGACCAAGCCTGAGGGAGAAGCAATCCAGTACACGCATGGTCAACAGTATTAAGAGTTAAGCTTTTCTGGGAGGAGGTAGACATATTTGTGGCTTTTCAACTTTGGTGAGGGTCCTGTGCCTCTTAACCCCATGGATATGGAGAGCCAACTGTACTTTAATGTGATGTATCCATGCTGGGTCCAAATGGATATGTGAGTATCCTTCCTGAGAATTCACAGCATGGAGTATGTTCATGGTAGGGGTGTTGAAATTACCTTCAGGTGTGCATGTTGCACAGGGCCACTGCTGGCCTTGTGATTGGCAAGTGTTAGGAGTGAAAAATATGGCTGCTTTCCCTCAAGGGTTCAGAAGAATTGAAATTGGAATGTGAAGCAGAATGAGGGAGGGCCTGGGAATGTGAGCCACTCTGAGTCACTGAGATGAGAGAAGTGGAGAAGTTTGTCTCAAGGCTGGACTTCCCAGGTGGGCAGGCAGTTGCTGGGAATAACCAAGAAGGGGACTTGGAGCAGGGGAGTTTCTCAGGCTCAGGTGAGGTGAGCATTACACATTGGCTGCACAGGAAGGCAGCCCAGTTAGAGGATTGGCATGCAGAGAACAGGTGTGCTCACTTTCAGAAGTCTCCTCTTGAAGGGATGGGGCCCAGGCATGCTGATAAGGAGAGTTCCTGGAAGTGTTTCCTAGACTAGGTTCAACAAAAGGCTCTGTGCATGCTCAGAGTTTCATTCTGGGTGTTTTGTGCTTTTGGGTCAATAAAGAATGCTTTTCAAGGAAAAAAGATTTGTGGCTTTTGAATGTGTGAAGGAGGAACCCCTGCTCCTGACTGCAAGTATGAGAAGGGGCCCATGTGCATCGTGATGTACACAGCTGTATTGTGGGAAAGGGAATCCTGATTGATGCAGGACAGTCTCATTTCATGCAGAATGTTGAAGCTGAAACTGTGGTGGGCAGAAGGCTACAGTAGCCCCTGCAAGGTCCCTCTGCTTTCTTCTCTGTCACTTTAGCAACAACAGAAATCAATTCAGTAAATGCCAGAAGCATATTTAAAGTAAGCATGAAAGTGCAAAATTGCAATTGATGAAGGCAAATTAAATATCCTTTATTTCAGGTGTCTACAATTTGCTGCCTTCCAGTTATGTCGGACTGTAACTCCCATTATACCCAGTCAGCATCACAGGAGTTATGTAACACACACCTAGAGGTTAGGGGAGACTGCTTTATTTGGATAAAGCCTTTATTGCTGTTGTTTTTATTATATATTTTATTTATTTAACTTATATTCCTAATTAGTTCATTATTCACATTGTTAAAAAAGTACATGCATGCTGAATAGTGGAATGGAGATTGTTTCAATGCTGCAGGTTGTGAGCATGAGAGAAGAAGAGCTAATCCAGATTAGTGCTTTTAAGATTTCTAGATAGAGAAGGGACCTTAGTTCAGTGGTGGGGCACCTGCTTTTCATGCAGAGGATCCTGGGTTAAATCCATATCATCTCCAATAAGCTTTGGTAAAGACTTCCAGTACAGGTTAGATCATTTGATTGGCACTCAGGAGGGAACTGGGTTCTAATCCTCTCCTGTCCTCCAAGTTCAGCATGCAGCTTTAGGCCAGTCACTAACTCTCAGTCTAATCTACCTCACAGGGTTATTGTAAGGTTATAGTGGAACAGGGCATACCATGTAAGCTGCCTTGACTTACTTGCAAGAGGGGAAAGAACAGGATGTAAATGCAATGTGGTAATTATGAAATGGTTATCAGGTGTTCTGGAGAGTTGCTGCCAATTAGTGTTAGGCAAGCTAGTGCCTGCTAAAGTTCCCATTAGCCCCAGCTAGCATAGCTATTATGAAGTACTGGAGTTGTAGTTCTTAACATTTTGAGGACTTAGTGAAGTGTGTACCAAGCTATATAGACTGTTAATATGACTTGGTAAAATCAGCTTCTTATATTACTAACAAATGAGGCTGCTCTGAACTAAAAAATTGCTAAACTGCAAAAATTGCTAAACTGCAATTTCTGTGATATAGACAATTACATGGGGATAAATTTGCAATAAATTGATTAAGCAATTGACACTATTGTGTACTCGTCTTTAGAAGCAAGTCTAAGCAAAATGCTATGGGCTATTTTTTTCCCCTTCTCTTTCAGATGTCAGTTCGACCTAGAAGAGCTAGAACAGTAGTAAAAGCAGAAGTTCCAGATGATGAACTGCCTGCCTTCCTTAAATCGTGAGTTAAATTCTGTTTAGTACATATTTTTAATCAAATAAAGATTGTCACCTAGATGCTTCTATTATGTATTCACAGAAATCTGTGGGAATACGAATTTACAAAAATTTAGTAATGTCTTCCTTTAATGACTGTCTGCTTCCTGTTCATAAAGATCTAAGAAAAGAAATGCTAGTGATACAGGCATGCTGGAAGTTGTAAGCCTTTTTTGCCTAAACTTACATAGGATTGGGTCCTTGGATACCTATCTCAGAAAAGAATGAAGGCAATTTGCCACAACATTAAAAACATACAAAATATAAACCAGCTAAAATCAATTATTCACTACAATCTCACCACTCCATAAAATAGCAAAAACTTCAGTGACGGAGTGATTTCAACTGGTGTGCTAAAAATCCCATCATATGCTCTCCAATGTTTAGGAATAAACTGGCACCTAAAGGACTCCCATATTGGCAGCAGGTAGGGTACCACCACTGAAAAGGCCCTTGTTGTTAACCTTTGAACTACCCTCAGAGGAGGGCCGCAGATCCTAATGGCAGTGTACTGGTAGGTTCATTATATATAATTACATCCCCTGTAAAGTTTCCCCTGTCTATTCAGCTCTTCAGAATCAGAAGAGGAAAAACCTGAAGAAGACTGGGAACCCAAAAAGAAAGTTATAAGAAAAGCCAGAGTGCCAAAACCAAAAGACGCTCAAGTGAAAAAACCCACCGTGACCCAGAAGAATCCAACTGTGGCTCGCAAAAGGACTAAGAAGGTAGCAGTGAAAGAAGAATTGGTAAGAAGTGGAATCTAATCATTTTTCAGTGCATTGGGAAGAGTGGATAACTTGGGTTACACAGGGAATGTTAGCAATTTTAGAAATTCTCACCCACCCTAGTTAAGCTTAGGATTCAAAAGTCATGTTAAATACGGTTTCTGAGCCTGGATTATCTGATAAATCAGATTAGCCATAGTCATGGTAAAAGTCACTTATAGTACAATACCCCAGTTCACATGTCAGCTTCTTGGTCCATCAAGCCATGTGTGCTTATAGTGGGGATAGCTCAAGCATTGCCTGCGGCTGTGTCTCCTTTTTTTGTGTGTCCAGCTTTTGAGAATCATTCCTGGTTGGTTAACCACAGTTTCTTGTGCTGTTTGAACTGGGAGTGGTTTGATCCTGGTTTTCTGTCCTGATCAGTAGGCAGCACTTATGCAATTTTCTGGCTTAGTTGTAAGGGGCAGCTGTGTAATGACTCAGGAAGTCTCCTTTGAAGCCAGGAGGGGAAAAGTAGCATGGCTTGTTGCAACAAACCATGGCTGCTGGACCGAGGATGCTCATAGTTGAAATAGTGAAAGCTGGTGAGAAAAAAGTTCAGGCCTTTTTTTGTATTTTCTCACCTTCTGTTCTTAACGTGGTTTGTTGCCTTTGGCAGGACACATCTTTGCCTATTACGGCTCCTGGAGGGAATGAAGGAGGTTTGCCACAATGGCATCCCAAGGAAGACATCAAGCTGCCACTACCAGCGAAAAAACCCCCACTGAAAAATATTGGCCTTATGCAGGTAAATCCTGCCAGTGCCCTGGAAAACACTGACGGTCCCTCCACAAGCACTGCAGCCTCCAAAGAAACAGTGAAGGCAGAAGACTCTGAAGAGGATTTCGCATTTGAGGAACCGCCTTTAAAAAAATTAAAATCTGCAACGTGTCCTTGGGGGAATCCTGTAAAATCCACTGCAAGCACCAAGATGGATGAAGACTATAAAATGAACTGGGACATGGTGCAGGTCTGAGATTTTTTTCCCTTTCATAGCAAAGCTTGCATAAACCTATATTGCAAAGAGAAAGCCTGCAGGCTGGGCTAAGGCATAAATTTGGTTTCTACTGTATATAATAGCAGTCCTGGATGTATTCCAGAAAGCAAATTGGCCTCTCTTTATTTTTATAAAATAAATCACATACTTTCCCTCTGCTTTTAATGAGAGCTTTTCCCATGCATAAGCCATGATGCAGGTTACAATTAGGATTGAGTTTCATGAGAAAAGATCAAAAAAGGGTCATTCTGATATTTGTAAGAAGGCAAAGGCTGAAACTACACTCCAAAACAAAACCTAATACAGTTGGAGTTACAGTTCCAAGATTTGAAAATGCCACAGGTAGGAAAGATGGTAAAAGATAGAATGTTTATTTTCTTTTAATTATTGATTTTCATTTTATATTTTTAGGCTAGCTTTATGGATAAAACCTATTCAAGGTGGCAGACTACATAAAAAAGTCACATCATCCAATAGCAATGAATATACAGTAACATTGTATAAAAGCTGTCAACACAAATTTTACCAATAAAACCTACATCTCATGCATTATGGGAAGGTCAGAAACAGATATCTTTGTTGACCATGTTTAAATTTTATTCAGAAAAGAAATCTGCAGAATTTCTGACATTTGTATTAGAACTAGATGGGGAGACATGACAGGTGTTTAAAAATAATGCATGGTTTGGAGAAAGTAGAAATGGAGACAGTTTTCTCTTCTCCCATAGCATGCAAACCCAGGGTCATCCCATGAAGCTGGTTGGTGGGAGGTTTAGGACAGATAAAAGTAACTACTTCAAACAGTGTATAGTCGAACTATGGAATTTGCTGCCACTGGAGTGGCAATGTCTGCTAATTTGGATGGCTTTAAAAGGGGATTGACAACTTCATAGAGGAAGAGGCTATCTATTGGTGGCTACTAGCCTTGCTGGCTATGGGCTACCTCTTTTACCAGAGGGGGCGTACCTGCACACTGCAGTTGCTGGGGAGCTGGGCAGGTAGAGGTTTTGCAGCCCCTGCTGGAGGGATCCTGTGGGCAGCTGGTCTGCCACTGTGTGTGTGGAGTGCTGGACTAGATGGACCTTTGATCTGATCCAGCAGGGATTTGCTTGTGTTCTTAACTATGGTAAAGGCTTCCACAAAATGTGGGGAGTGACAACTTTGGGGGCTGTAGTGGTGAGATGTGAAGGCATTTTCGGGATAGGTGTGGCTTACCATGGTGTTCTAGGAGCTGGATGAGGCTTTCTTCCTGTGCTTTGTTTCTTATCCTGTTGAAAAATGCACCATTGCTGCTGCTTGTAGCAGGTGGCAAAGCTCTTTGTACAGCCTAAGGACCACGTTTCCTGTGGGCTGGGAGAAGGTTTCTTTCAGACATTCTTCTGGCACAGTGTCTGGAAAGTGTAGCTAAGATGCCGTGCGAAGAGTCTCATCACACACGATAAGCCTCAGCGGTGATGCTTTTGCTAAACTAAAAAAAGTGTGGGGGAGGAGAAGCTTTGGTCCCTTGACATTACACTAACGTAAGCCAATTGCCTGTTCCCGAAAGTGTCTTAAACTTCACTCTGCCCTTTGTCCCATTTCTGGGGGTGGGGGGCGGGTCCCCAGTTACAAATGACTGAAAGAAATGGGCCAAAAAGTTTGGCTCAGCTCTGATTTTTGAGTGTTTGTTCTCATTTTGGTTGGTCATTTAATATTCCTAATCAATGTTAATTGAAACTTTTTGCATATATAAAGCAAACATGCATGTGATTTCCTAAATTTAGCAACATTTTGACCTGCCCCTTGTCCCCAGGTTAGGTTTCTTTTTTCTCACCACATCTGTGCTTCCCACTTAATGTTTTGAGTCCCCAGGGAGAGTCTTGCTTCCTTGTCCTCCAGAAAAGGATGTTCTCTTGTGGTACATCTAGGCATGGTTGCCATCTTCGGGGGACCTAGAAGACATGTGCTTTTGTTGGGCATTGTACAACTTTTGACCCTTTAACTCTTATGAGGTGACTGTTCCTGACAACCATTTTTGATTTCTAATGATTCAACATAATGTATTCCCTCTTTTCACAAACACTCATTTGGATGATGATGTGGTGATGCTATTATTATTGGGGCTGTATTCCTTGAAGCTTAAGCTGAACGAATAATAATGATGGTTGTTACCCATGTAGCTGTAATTGTTTTTGCAATACAGGGTGAATATCTTTCAGCCCAAAGGGCCATATTCAGTTTCAGAGAACCTGTTAGAAGGGATACATTCCAGTGCTGTTTGGGGACAAAATACTGAAAAATGTTAGCTTAAAGGGCTTACTGCCCCTATCTAAGCCTTAAGAGAGGCATTTCAGTCTTTTCCCTGAGGTTAAAATTGCAGCATAGCTTAAAAAGCTACCAAAAGTTGGTAGTTGAGGAAAGGCGTGTGGCCAGGAAAAGGGCCCATGTAGAACCCCAGGAGAGTCAGTTTTAGCATCTGGGCCTGAGGTTCCCCCCACTGCTTCAGGGTTGTCTGACTGGCACTCCTTTCTCTGTGGCCCAAGAGGAGAAGGGCCCATTGCGGCTATTGCACCTCAACACCCTGTTTCGTGCCAAGCCCTCCTGGACCCACATCAGGCCTGTAGCATTCAGAATGGTCTCCTCTGGGAACAATTGTATTTGATTTACATGGTTCCTGTTGGTGTTGCCCTTGTTGCTGCAGGTCTTGTCACAAAGGACTGGTATCGAAGAGTGGGTGTGTGCCAACATCATCCGCCTCTTCAATGATGACAATACGATTCCTTTCATCGTTCGCTATCGAAAGGAGCTGATTAACAATCTGGAAGCTGACGCATTGCGTGAGGTGCAGCAAACGATGGAAGAACTACAGTAGGTTGGATGGGTGGGAGAATAACTGTGAACTCAAATCTCACATCATCATTTGGGTACCTTGAAGTCTAGTCTAAGAGTTCCAGCTGAAGTGGGTATGTGGCCAAGCAACATTACTAACAGAATCGGTTTCTGTCTTCCTTTGGGTTGAGATCTGATTTCAGTTAAGAAAAATTAAGAACATCAGAAGAGACAGGCTGGATCAGACCAAGATTCATTTCACAGAGAAAGGGAGAGACAAACCTAAACATCAGTAAATGCTTAAAATGAATAGTCCTCATTAAAATGGTTGCACGTTTGTTATTGTAAACTGTAAGACACTCATAAGGCTTGTGCTCAGACACATGTGTTGGGGTTCAGTGATGCTTTTTCAAAGAAGGGAGCAGCATTAGATACTGCTTTTCCAATTCAGCCAAATATTTCCAATTTTGTCCCAGCCCTGGGGTTTTCCATTTCCTGTACACATGATATGCACGCGGGGTGGGAAGAGGGACCGGCCACGACTGGCCTCTGACAAAAAGCCTGTTGTCCACACAGCATAGTAGCCTGCCTTTCATCAAGCCAAAATATTTGTTCATCTAGCCCTCCATTGTCCCATTCCTGTAGCAACAGCTCTGCAAGGTCACAAGCAGGGGTCTGCCTGAAATACTGGGGTGAACTTGGACCTTCTGCAGGTAAACCAGGTACTCCCGAGTTATATCTTCTGAACTGTCTCCCCACAGCCATTTCCAAGCTGCAGCACTTTACTGTCTCCACTGGTTTCATTGGAAAAATGAGAAACTAAATAAATGGCCATGAGTAATTTTAAGTGACCATTTCTTATTTGCTTTTATCTTAGCACTGTAGCGAAAAAAGTTCAAGTTTCAATACAGAAGCTTAAGAAAGAAGGAAAACTGTCTGGAGGTCTTTTAACTGCTTTGTTAAACTGTAAAACCTTGGAGGAGCTGGATCATGTGGTTAGTGTTATTTTTTAAAAACATTGTGGGCCATGTTTTCCCCCTCCTTCCCATGTCAGCTTGGTCTGCCAAAGCCCCCCGTTAAATGTGGTGGTTATGCTGTGTGATGCCATGATGCAGTGCAAGGATGCGCTGAATTCTAAGATGGGTTCTCAGCATCAGAGGAAGCTGCTTTTGCTGAGTCATGCAATGGGTTCACCTGGCTCAGGACTGGCTGCACGGGGTGGGGGGGCTATAGTGGGGTGCTCTTTGTGCTTTTCACCTACCTTGCTGCTTCTGATTTTTGTTCTATTTTGTAAGATTTCCTAATCCCCCCCCCCCTTTTTTTTAACTGGGAGGTTGGTGTGCGGTCGTCCAGGGCTTTCATCCAGCACCATCTTTATTTGTTTTCAGAAAAGTGGCATTTGTTCATTAGTTTTAGAGTCAAGGCACCACCTCTGTTCCGTACTTTGCTTCCTGGGTAAGCTACATTTCTTACATGGGTGCTGTGCCTGCGCAGTGCCTCCCCCAGGAAGATTTCTCTAGCTTAGCCTAGAACTTTCCACAGAGCCCTGCCCCCTCCCTCCCTGTATATAAATGGCTGGTTCCCACCATTTGGGCAGTTCACTTTCAACCGCCATTTGACAGTGCATCAGGATCTCTAGCATTCGTTGCCTTTTTTGCTATTCCTTTTTGCTATTTCTTGAACTTTCCCTTACTATTCATATTCTTGCTGATTCTGATTCTACTTCTAAATTCTTTCCCTTACCCTTATCTACCAGAGCCCCATCCCCCGCTGCTTCATCTCGCTCTACCTTAGAAAAATATGTATTATAAAACCCCCTACTATCGTGTTCTTCTGTCTCCATATCTATTCTATCATCTCCCAATGTCACTTACCACTTGCCTTCTTGGAAATTAATGTTCTGCAAAGGGCCTTGCTTACCATGGCGGTCCTTTTAAGAATGGACAGGTGTGTTTTCCCACCCCAGGACAGCCATGGGAGCACCCATAGAGTCTATCAGATTTCCAAATGTGCCCACCGACCCAGAAAGGCAGCCCATCCCTGGTCTGCACTGACTAACAGTAGGCTTCCGCGTTGTTCAGGTGGGAGTCTTTCTCAATGCAACTGGAATTGCCTGGAATCAAACTTGGGATCTTTGGCATGCTAAGCAGATGCTCTGTCACCGAGCTGTAACCCCAGCCCAGTGCATACAGAAAGCTGGCCAGGCCCTTCAGGCAGTAGAATCTTGCCAGGGGGGCGCTACAAAGCCTCCAGAGTGAAGGGAGATGCCTAGAAGTACTAGTATCTTATATAAAGATGGCCCAATGAGCAATGCCCACATTGTATTCCCCAAAGTACAATTTGGAGAAATTGTGACTTTGTAGATACACTTCCAGTTTTCCTTACTGTGCAACTCTACTACTATTTCTTTAGGAATAAATTCCATTGAATTTCAGTAGAACTTGATTTTGCACATCCTTAGGATTACATGTATTTTTCTTCTGTTAGTCTTTTGCCTTTAAGAAGGATGCATTTAAAGGGATTGATTGTATTTTTGTTATGGATTATTGTCACTTAAAACACCTTAAACACTAGTTGGCATTGTAGATTCTTTATATTGTTACTTGTTACTATAATCACTGGCCACAAAAAATAAAGAGAGACCACAGGAATTGTAGCAACACTAAATGCATTTCTTAATTATCTGTCTAGTATGCACCATATAAAACTGGAAGCAAAGGAACTAAGGCGCAACGAGCCAGGCAACTGGGATTAGAACGTGCAGCCAATTTGCTCCTTAATAACCCACGAGAACTCAACCTATTTTCTTATGTCAGGTCAGGTGTAGAAGGTAAGTGCAGAAGTAATGGCATAATTGGGAACATTTTGGTCACTGGGTAAAAAAGATGGTCTGGGTTTGACTGGTTATCTGGTCCAAACTTAGTAAGAGTGGATTCCTGTGTCCTTGGTTGAGGGACTGGAGAGTCCCTGCATGCCATGTGCAAGGTCCCTGTTTCAGTATCTTAAGGTACCACTGAAGAAGACCCCTGCTGAACCCCAGGACAGCTTCTGCCCATAAGAGCAGTCTGCATCAAGCTGGATGGACTGATGGTCAGAATTGGTATCAGGCAGCATCCTGCATTCCCAATGTGCTTTCTTTGAATGCCTAATGAACATGGACAAAAACATTTAGGAAGAATGGGGGACTCTTCTACCCCGTAACCACACAAACAAAGGCAGTACTGTCAATTTAAACATAATTCTAGTGTTGTTGTTCAGAGTTACATAGCAAAAGCATCAATACAATGGCATCCATTCAGGACAATAAATATAACAATAAAACAGATTAATTGGCAGTAAAGCTGCACATACTACTGTTGACTGTGTGCTACAAACTAGAGTTGGATTGCACTTCAAGAAAGCCTGTGCAGAGAGATGAGTTTTAGAAAGACATTTAAGGGAATTATCTTACCCCTATTTAGACAGAAGAAAGTCCAACAACTCCCAACATTCAGTCATTTCTAGGAGGTCCACTAGTTGCCCTTCACTGACCTAAAGGATGAACCAAGAGGTGAAAAATACTGTAATGCAGTAGAAGGAGGTAAAGTGCTGTGCTCCAAAAGAGATTACAAAATTGAAGGGAAGCCAGATTGTGCTCCTATAAAATGGTAATAGGTACATGAAAGACTGCGGTAACAAAATATGAAATGTTGTTGCTCTAATGTTGAATATTAAGGTTCTTTAGCAAAACGGAGTGTTGTCATGTGGATCAAAATGCAGTGCAGTTTTATGAATAATCTACAGCTTGCATAAATGCCTGATTTCAGACTTTGAGATATGAGTATTCCTGAGATTTAAGGGCCATGTTATTCAGCTTTAATTATAGAGTCTTACTAGAATAGTTTTTTTTTTCTCAGCAGGAAGTGAGTTAAATTTCCCCTTTTGACATGCCCTAACAAAAGAGTATTTACTCAAATAAAATGACCAAAGTGGACAATAGTAAAGACAGTAACCCCACCTCCATACAGGACCTTTGTCTATCCTATTTGTTTTCTGTCCTGAAATGCTTTCTCAAGTCTCACTGTTTTCAGTGGAAGGGGCAGGAGCCCCTGCAGAAGTCTCTCTGCACTACTCTAGTTTAGAGAGTCAGTGTGATATGGTGGTTAGACTGTTCTGCTGAGGACCTGGCAGATCCAGGTTCTAGTTCCCATTTACTGGGTGACTTTGGGCTACTCACAAACTCTCTGTCTACAAGGTTGTTCTTGTGAGGATAAAACAGGGGAAGCAAACCTTGTATGCTGCCCTGAGTTCCTTGCAAGAAAAAGAAAGGTGATGTATAAATGTAATAGCATGCTGACAAGTCCCTCTCTTTCAAAGCTCTTCCCCCTTCCTTGGAGCAGTGGGGGCAAAGCTGCTTTAATAAGGCAAAGAATTTCATTCTCTCAGCAGAAGCAGTCCTTATCTAAAGGACTAAACCAGGATTGGGGAAGGCCACTTCAAGGCAATTCTCTCTGGTGCTTTTCTTAGCAAGCTGAATGCCATAAACCTTGGCTTTCAGAAACTATCCTGGTTGTTGAACATTGGGAAAGTTCACTACCTGTCGAGCCGTAACCTCCTTGTCATTGACAGAGCCCATCCAGTCACAACCCAAAGTGAGAGCATGGCTGTACATGCATACCTCCCTGTTACTGCGATGCTGGCTGTTCCTGAGCAGCATGAGGTGGATCCCATTGCAAGCTTGCCCAAGGTCCTAGGCTGAATCCTTGGCATTCCAATAGGGCTGGGAAAGTCCCCTGTCCGAAAGCTTGAAGAGCTGCTGCCGGTCTGGGTTGACAGTGTAGGGCATGTGCCAATGCTTTGACCTTGGCTTATGCAGCCCATCATGCAAGTCAATGAACAAACTCAGCAGAAAGTCTTCCATTAACTGTGGTTTCCGGTCCTGTCAACTGGGAAAGTATGGTCAACAGATTCTGAGCAAGCTTAATACACTGGCTACCTCAAAATCTGCTAGGCAGTCCCCATGTCTGAATGAAACTGGAAGGCCTAGTACAGAGAAGAGTTCTAGCTTATTTGCTCACGGGAAGGCGCTGTGTGCGGGGCTGAAAGTCTTGTTCCTATCTTGGCTGATTCAGCCAGTATTCAATGCAAACAGCACAGCTCAGTTTGAATGGCACAGTCTGTGTTTGCTGAGGGTTCTGGAGGAGGAGTCTTGCTTGAACCGGAGCACCTTTGCTGTTTTTGCCTTTATTCAGCAGATGCTGCACCCTTGGGTCAGGGCTGAATCTGGCCCTCCTGGGTGCCAAACACAGCCCTCAGACGTCGCACCCTTTCCCTGAACTGCCATTTGCTTTCCCAGCTTTTGTGTAGTTTTATCTCTGCTCCAAAAGGTTGAGGTGCTTCTCTGAAGGCTTAATGGCTGGCCATGAGAGCTTCAGACTGAAAGGTGCTGGCATTGTGGCCTTGGTCCTGCCAGGCATGGGATATTTTGCCAGCTCAAGTGTTGCTGCTTCTTGCCCAGCTGCCCTGTCCCCTTCACACCTCTCCTTGCCTGCTTGTCCAGCTGCCCGGCCACTCCGCTCCCTCTCCTGCACCTCTGCTCACACCTGCTTTGCGCTCCAGCTGCAGGGCAGGCCTCTTGCACTTGATTGGCTGAAGTATCGTGAGAAACCAGCCAGCCACCTGCAGGAGCCCTGCAGCTGGAGCTCGAGGCAGGAGCACTGGAGCAGCTAGCTAGGACAGCGCATAGCCCACAAAGCAGTTCAGCCCATGGGGTGGTGGCGTTTGCTGGCGCTGAGCCCGGCAAAGTGCACCTAGTTCTTCTCTGACTGCAGCAACTGCCACAGAGTCCCACACAACACCAGCTGGAGGTGGCAGCGGGTCTTCATAAGAATGGCGGGGAGGGAGAGAGGCACGATCTGCTGCTCCGTGCCTGAGCGACAGCATCAGTCTGTGTCGTGGCGGGCCCTGCCCACTGTTGCCTTCAGCTCTGCCCACCAGCAGTTTCTGAAAGTTTCTCTGACACAGAATTTGACCCTTTGGCTCAGACAGCTGCTGCTCTCCTGCCTTAACTGGAGTCTTGGAAAATGAACAGTCCCAGAGAGCCTGGTTAAGCATTACTTGCCATTAGAACTGTTGTTAATGTCATAGGCAAATGTTAATGATAACGATGGCAAGTGTTGCAGCGCAGGAGGAAAACCAGGTTCTGAGGTGGAGAAAATTATTATTCAAAGAAGGGATATTTTCTGCCTCCAGTTTAGACTTTCTCTCCATCTCTCTCTGTATTTCTTAGTGCAATTATAAAGAAAGCTGTAGGGGGCAATCTTAGACAATAAAATATGCTGTATTTTATATGCTTTTTTTAAAACAAAGACACTTTTTTTCTGGTTCAACTTTAAATAGGTTTTTAAAATGCTAGGATTGAGCAATATTTTGAGACAAGTTAGAAATGTGTACCTGTGAGACCAAAAAAGTTGGCAAAGTGGGAATGTTTCAATTATTCCAACTTGGTGCTGAAGGCAAAATAACTGGTTAACTAAATATGTTCTAAGTGTAAAACTGGAGCGTGCAATCCAGAGCTCCCAAGGTCTTAACTTTGCCCCCAAGGTGCCATGGCCCCCTCTGTGGCCCAGCAATCTTGATAGAGGTTGCTCATTCCCTGCTGATGCTAGCGGTGAGGAATCTCGTGTGTGTGTGTGTGTGTGTGTGTGTGTGTGTGTGTGTGTGTGGCTGGCCCCTGGACCAGAGTTAATTGAATGCCAAAATGGTTGTATGCCCTTGATGTAGGGGAAATTCACAGTGTTATAAATCAGAAGACTGGTTTTACCCCTGAACTATCAGCCGGATGCTGCAGATCGGACCTTCCTCTTGTTGTGAGCCGATGGCCTCACTTGATCATGAAACCCAGACTGCAGATCAATACAAATGCAAGCTATCTGTGTCATTTTATTGAACTGTGAGTCCAGTGGTGGACACAGTGGATGGTTTTCTGATGTGTTGGTTCTGGTTCAGTTTTACTCAGCATAGTATTAATAAAGAAAATGGTACCTCAGAAGAGATGCAGTTTTTTTCCAGTGGTGCCAAGGTTGCTCTGGGAAGCAATTCTTGTTTATCACTCATGGGGTTCCATGCATCCATTGTATCCTCCTTCAGCCTGCCCTCATCCACTCACCACTTCCTCTGCAGTCCCCTGTCCTATATCCCAGGCCTTTTTTCAGGAATGCCCTTTCGGAGTGCACAGAGGCTGCAGTCGTGGGTGATGCATTTGCTTTCTGACTTAAGTGAAAACAGCAATTTCATAAAATAATGCTCTGCAGATCAGATAAGCACAACTAAGCAAAATAGTATTAACAGTCTTTCTGCAACCACAAGGGGAGGGAGTGACACAGCAGAGGTATCTCCGTGAGGAAGTGCTTGCCAATTCTTAACAGGCAGGCAGAATCTAATGGGAGTCAGAGAACTCTGGCAATAGCTAGTTGGCTTTTAACATTTCTAACTCAAGCCAGTGACCCTTAGACCCTCTGAACTGAAGATTTGCCAGGTCTTCCATATGGAGAGAGTTGCCTGGGGGCTTGCCCTGACGTTGGGCTGTGCTCACAACTGTTTTTCTCTTCATCTGCATGGGGGAGGTGTTGCCATTTTGGTTGCGTATCCACATTTTGAAACCAACAAAACTAAATGAGTAATGTAAGGGTGAACTGTGTTGTGTGGGTTTTTTTAGGGCTTTCTACCATTGAGGACGTAAAATCTGGAGTGCAGCACATCTTGGCTGACATGATTGCTAAAGATAAAGAGACGTTGGATTTCATCAGAGATCTGTAAGTGCCTGTTACAGGTAGACCGCTTTGATTATAGGCTGTGTTTTCTTCTTCTGTAAATTCACTTCTGTGTGTCTTCCTATGCATGGGACTTGCTACTTATGGATGCATAGCTAGAAGAACTTGTCTGCCTGTTGTTTTGGATCAACTTCTGCAAAACAAAACAACCCCAAATCCTGTCCGGGACCAACTATGTAACAGAGCTGAGTGAATTCTCAGCTTCGGTCCTTTTAATGGGGTGTGTAATGCTTGCTCTCCTATATTTTGACTTAATGGAGACCATAGCTCCATCAAAGAGGACCTGATTTGCATACAGGAGGTCTGCGTTTCCATCTCTGAATCTCTAGCAAAGAGGGCTAATGGCCGGTGAAGAGAAAGATGCCTGCCTTTGATCCTGGAGAATACTGAGCTAGAGGAGTGATTGTCTGACTTGCTGTAAGGCAGTTTCCTAATATCCCATTAAGATTTAAATGTCATATAATAAGGAATGGGCACACCAGGGTGCACTTTACCAAGGTGTGGGGTGCTTATAGTAGGTTACTCAGGTTGGTTCCTGATCTGAGAACTGCTGGTTCCATGGAATGAAGTCTTACATCTGCATTCGATCTTGAGTATTCATAAAGATAAAGTGATGCTGGTTGTCTAGTGTCTGGGGTCCACTATGCTCTGACAGAGACCATGATGGGATGTCCTGCTATCCTGGAGCAGAATGTGTAGGCACTTAGATGGAAGGGATGCACCCAGCAGTTCCACCTTGGGCTCTCTGTGCCTTCTCTAAGTTTTGGGAGCATCCTTCTGAGAACCATGTTTCTTCTATTATGATATAATATGAAATTGAGCACTATGAACAGGTCACTTCAATGCTCACTGAAAATGCTGTTGTTTAACTACAGGGATTAATCCTATTCATTTGTCTTTTTCTTTTTTTAAACACAGATGCCAAAGAAAGTATGTTTGCATTCAGTCGTGTTTGGCCAAAGCAACCTCGAAGAAAGCCAGTGAGAAAGACATCAATAAATTCCATTTGTACCAGAGTTTTTCTTGCAATATAAGGAACATTCAGCATCACCAGGTATGTGCATCATCATGGCATACAAGGTATTTTAAAAAATGAAACAGAGCAGAAAAGAAGCTGGACAGTCCTATTGCCTAGGATAACGTTTTTGTCTTGGAAAAATAACCAAATGTTAAAAATAAATAAATAAGTCTACTGATGCTGGCTGGGTTCATATAATGTGACAAACCAGAGCACCAGTTGAGTGTGGGTTGTCAGTGAACAGTAGATTATTGTTAAGTCATGGATTGTTGTGTTGTGTGAAGTCAGTTGCACTGACAGATCATGGTTTCTTATACAGGAACCATCCAGAGTTCACAGCCCATCAGCAAATTATGAGTTTGCTCTTGTAGGAGCCCCACTGAACTTGACTATTTTTTTCTTTTTAATTAGCTATTGACCTGGGTGTATGAACATTTCAGAATAGTTTAGTTTCTTGGGCCACTGTTGTAAATGATGTAGGCCTATATTTGGGACACGGCTACTTCCCCCCACCCCCTGGTGTGGCTTGAGTGTTTTCCTCTCCTGTGACATGGAAGGCATGAGGTAATGCTCAGCTTCTGTCTTAATTTTAGATTGACCACTATGTTGTCAAAGGCTACACTGTCTTAACTATTAGTGAAAGTAAGCCAGGCTCATAAGCTGCTTTGAAATGGGCTCTTTCCACTAAGTATAGTTAAGGTTGTCTGGGTTCAGACAGTATGATGTTGCTTTGTTGTTGTTAGTTGTGAAGTCGTGTCCGACCCGTCGCGACCCCATGGACAACATTCCCCCAGGCTCTTCTGTCCTCCACCATCCCCCGGAGTCCACCTAAGCTCACACCGACTGCTTCAGTGACCCCATCCAGCCACCTCATCCTCTGCCGTCCCCTTCTTCTTTTGCCATCTATTGTTCCCAGCATTAGGCTCTTCTCCAGGGAGTCCCTCCTCCTCATTAGGTGGCCAAAGTATGATAACCTGTGATTAATACAAAATGGAAGTGAAAACTTCTGAACTTCTCACAGCCATGCCAGAAGGGAAGCATGTGAACCCAGGAGGGGACTAAGATTGCTCTTGTAAGGCAGAGATATGTTTTAGGACTTCATCTAATGCAGCCGCTTATAATGTTTTATTCCAAGCTGTCACTGGCTACTTTGTACAGCCTTGTACAGCTCAAAAAAGCTACTAGCCTTCTTTTATTTTTTAACAACCTTTTAGTAGCCTACATTTCTAGGCTGGCCATGGAAGAAAGAAAATTCCATCCTCTGCAATCAGCATGGAAATGTAGGCTACTGTCTTTTTAAGAAGCAAATAAAATGACTGTATTTTCCATCAAGCAGATCCAACAGTCATTTTGTGCTGGTTCTCATCACAGCTTTCATGGAAACCAAGCAGACTGGCAGAGGAGAATTCTGCTACCCCACCCCCTGCCATTTTCTTACTCACCTGCATGCAATTCCTGATCACCTGTGGTGACCAGGTAAATTGTTAATAAGAGGCTGAGGATACTGATGGCCAGGGTGGCAGGTCTGTTGACCATAATTTATCCCTATCCAAAGGTCTGATACTTGTCTTTTCTGTCCCCCATGATGATGGTCTGTTCCTCCTCCCATGTTCTTTGAGAAAGGCTTAATTAATTAATTGCTTTATACTGCAGGAAGCTCTGGGGCTAATTTGGACATAAACCGTAATGTTCTGTGCACAAGCCCTGAAACACTCACCTCTCCCTCCTTTTCCTCTTTTGTGCGCCAGAGAGAGAAGTCGGTAGCTTCCTTTTTTGGCTTGAACTGAGCCAGCGTTTTCTCTTCCAGCTGAACTCAACAGCTCTGGTTAACTTAAGTCTCTCTCTCTCTCTCTCTGTCTGTGACATCTCCAGCCCAACATTTTCTGCTCTTCTCTCAAGAAGCTTAGGGTGGCAGACATGAGGATAATGCTTTTTCCTCCATGCAACAGTCCGGAGCATTCGGTTAGGCTGGGAAGTAGCAACTGGAACAGGTTTACCAACTAATTTTTGCCTGAGTGTGTTAGCTCGTTTACAAGATTTCGAAGCTGCTTTTCAGAATAACTTTCCCAAGGCAAAATACAACAAGATTAACATGATAAAACATAACACAACAAAGAGCAATAATGCAAATGATAAAATCTGAATGAACAGTTAAAACCAGACACAGTACTATCATGGCCTCAGGAAAATCCTAACTCTGTTACAGGCCAAGGTAAACAAGTGAGGTTTGGAGGCCTACCAGAAAGCCTGCAGTGATAGGGCTAGTTGTTGTTATGTGTTGTCAAGTCATCTCTAACTTATAGCAAGTGTAACAGGGACTCCTGAGGGGATAGGGCAGTGGCAGCAGATGGCACCCTGGTGGTGGTGGTTGCTGTCATGTGCTGTCAAGTTGTCCACAACATATGGCAACTCAATGAAAGAAACATCCTATCCGTAAAAGCCCTGGTCAACTTTTGTAAACTCAAGGCTTCCTTTATGGAGTCAAGCCATCTCACATTTGGTCTTCCTTTTCTTTTCCTGCCTTTGATTCTCCCTAGCATGATAGACTTCTTCAAGCAGTTTTGCCATCTCATGACATGCCTACAGTATGTCAGTCTCAGTTTTGTCATTTTTGCTTCTAGGGCTTGCTTTGATCTAGCACCACCTGTTTGTCTTTCTATATGTGCAGGGTATTCACAAAGTTCTCCTGCTGCACCATGTTTCAAATGTATCAGTGTTCTTTCTGCTAGCTTTCTTCAGTGTCCACCTTTTACACCCATACATAGCTATGAGGAATACAATCGTGTGGATGACTTTGGCCTTGTTCACTAGTAGAAATGTCCCTGGACTTGATTACCTTTTCTAGTTCCTTCATTGCTGCCCTTCCAAGTCTCATTGTCTTTTGATTTCCTGACTGCAAATGATAGGGTCTATTTAACATCCATGGGAATTCCCTATTCCACAATAGGGCCACTACCAAAAAGGCCCCATTCCTGGCAGCTTGTTTGCTTTGACAGGTGGACGAATGGGATAAATTTGCTTTGATGGATGGTAGTGAGTCTCATGGAACTGAGTCATGGTTGTGATTCATTAACTCACTGGAAAAGTAGGCACTAGACCTTTAGTGTGAGCAAGCTGTTTCTCCAGAGATATGAAAGAACATGCTTTTGTTATTCCAGGACAGTGGCTAGGTAAAAATAAAACATTTAATAGTTTCCTTCTGGGACTGGCAAGAGTTTGGAAGTCTTATTTTGTTCTCCCTCATCTTTAAAACAGCCCCATCTAGTTCTGGAGTCGTGTCCTATGCCCCAGTTCATTCCATTTTGTTCTGCTGCATTCTAAATGTAACCTCAGACATCTCGGATGATGCTGTGTCTCCTGTGTCAATCGTTGCTGTGTGGAATAGCTCAGAGAGCATCCACATGATCGAAGAATGCTTTGAGCCACTCGACATCAAACCTGTCACTTGAAATTGGTCTGAAGCAGCAAGAAAAGGTTAGCTAATTGCAGTTAAAGGTGACCTGAAAGGATGGTTGGGATGTGCATGTGCATGTAATGGAATCGTGAACTTCTCATATGTGCTATTGTTCCCATCATCAAGGTGGAAAAAAATGCGTTCAGTATCTTTTTTATTCTTCCTCTCTTGCATTCTCTATAATTTTCTCAGTGCAGAGTCGGCTTCTCCAGCTTATTATTATTATTATTATTATTATTATATTATTATTATTATTATATTATTATAATTATTATAACATTTCTATGCCACCCCTTGCCGAAGCCTCGGGGCGGCTTACAACACAATAAAATACATTGAAATACAATAGAACATAATAAATTACCACTAAATACAAAAATACAAAAAATACACTGAGATACAAACATAATAATATAAAATTAAAATTAACAGTATAAAGTAAATAAAGAATATAGGAGGAGGAAAGAGAAGGAAGAAGAAGTTGCCCTGGCCAGATCATATATTTTAACAATTAAAATGATGTTTAAATAAAAAGGTCTTTACCTGGCGCCGAAAAACCAGTAACGACGGTGCCAGGTGGACCTCTTTGGGGAGTGAATTCCATAGGTTGGGCGCCACCGCAGAGAAAGCCCTCCTCCGAGTACTTACTCTCCTAATTCCTTTCATGGAGGGTTCCCGGAGAAGGGACTCTCCCGCAGATCTCAAGGGGCGGTCGGGCATATACGGACGTAAGCGCTCGTTCAGGTAGCCAGGACCCAAGCCGTTTAGGGCTTTATAGGTCATAACCAACACCTTGAATTGGGCCCGGGCTTCAATGGGAAGCCAGTGAAGCTGACGGAGGACTGGAGTCGTGTGAGCATAACGCCCCATCCCCGTCAGCAACCTGGCAGCTCTATTTTGCACCAATTGAAGTGTGCGGACCGTCTTCAGGGGAAGCCCCACGTAAAGCGCGTTACAGAAGTCTAGGCGGGAAGTCACCAGCGCGTGTGTCACCGTCGCCAGGCAGTCGTACTCCAGGTAGGGGCGCAGCTGATTAATCAGCCGAAGCTGAAGGAAGGCGCTCCTCGCCACCGCTGTCACCTGAGCTTCCAAAGAAAGCTCCGGGTCGAGGAGTACTCCTAAGCTGCGGACCTTGTCCCTAAGAGGGAGTGTTGCACCATTCAGGACCAGGTCAAATCCACCCTCTCCGAAGCCCGATCCGCCAACCAACAGGACCTCCGTCTTGTCTGGATTGAGTTTCAGTTTATTGGCCCTCATCCAGTCCATTACCTCGGCCAAGCACCGGTTCAGCACAGCCACTGCCTCACCTGGATTAGTGGAAAACGAGAAGTAGAGCTGGGTATCATCAGCGTATTGATGATTCCGCAGCCCACACCTCCTGATGACCTCTCCCAGCGGTTTCATGTAGATGTTAAACAGCAAAGAGGATAAAATGGAGCCCTGTGGTACTCCATGGCATAGCTGCTATGGCGCAGAGACATGGTCCCCCAGCACTACCTTCTGGAATCGACCGTTGAGATAGGAGCGGAACCACTGCAAAGCAGTGCCTCCAACCCCCAATCCCGCTAGCCTATCCAGAAGG